AACGAATTACACCACAGTCATATAACTTTGAAGTTAGTGACATTAAGCTTCTGACAACTCTTTCAGTCTTTATTTAAAAAACATTTTTTCCTGAGTTTGAGTTTAATAGTTTGAGTCTAAACGTTTGAGTTAGAATAGTTTGCAAAAGTGCTATCATAAACACAACGAGGCTGAAAAAATAGACTAGTGAGTAATGAATTTACCTGTCACGATGATGATGTTTGATGTCCCAGACAATCTCTGTAGACCCATTTAGCCACTTGTTAGCAACTGCCTTTTTCAAGACAAGTAAAAGCTTTAAAAAAATGACAAGGGTGAATTACTGATGTATTTTATGTTGTAGAATAAAACATGAAAATATCTTGAGCTTGTGTTCACTACAGGCCTTATATCAGGCATTTAACCAAAAACCCATTCAAAAAACCCATTGACATCTGGACAATGGAACTGTATGTGCTAAAATGCCAGTTTCCAGGTTTTGGCCCACAAAAACACATCATCCCTGCAGAACTCTATTTGTCTAATACTTCATATAGAGAGGAACAATTATGTGTAAAACTCCCTTTTTCTGCCTGCAGGGGGGGATACTCAACTTCAGATGAGATGTGTTTGGCCTTCCTCGTCTACTATCCAGCTATGAATCTGGGCACCTGTGCGAGCCCCCTAATGCAACTACTTTAATATCTGAGATGGGAGCAAAAGATACAGTGTAATCTCATTTAAAACACTGATTTTTTAAATGAGTTTCCCTCTTAATATTTATCCTAATGATAATGTAGCTTTTACTTGATAATTTTGCAGTACTTGGCTCAATATGATGTTCACGAAGACTTGGAATGACACGTCTATCAACCAATACCAACAAACACTGAAGAGAATCGACCAGCACGTCTGGGTCATGAACTCAAATGTAAGTGTCCACACCTCCACAATATCAAGCTTTCAAACTGAACTGCTTCTGTTCTGACCACAGCTGCGTTTACCTGACACTCTTTTCCATGTGTATTTCAGAACAACATATCAAGCAACACAGGGCTGATTCCTGACCTCACAGTCACCCCGTCTGCACCCTGCATGAGCGACAGTGCCACCAAGAGTCTTGCTTTGCTATCGCTGCTCCTCAGTTTGGCAGTGCAGTGGGCATCCTTTTGAAACATTAATGCAAAATAGAACTGATGTAACTTGTTGTTCTTTCATTGTCTGAATAAATGTCAATAATTTTAAGAGCGAAAAACTCATGGCTCACAGTAACAGAGAATTGAGCAAGCTATATGTATTTTTTTTTCTTCAAATCATTAGATGGAAATGGACTTTACACTTTACTTTCTTTGCTTTACTTGTCTTTTGTGCATTCTACAATATGAAAAACTTTAAACAAGTTTAGATGAAAGAATGAGCTCGACAGCATGATTCAGAATATTTCCTTGAATTATAATTTTTAACAACAAAATGGCAATAATAAAAGTAATTATTTTTAATATTATTTAAAAATACAAAATACAGATTTCATTCGTAGAGAAGATAGATGTAGGCTATAGTGTTTATGGCATGCAGTGGTATCAGGGCCGGATTTATCTCTTTTCGTGACATAGGCAAAACTAATTTTTGGGCCCCCTTCCCTATTAATATAATAGACCTAATATTACCACCAAAGCAAACAAAAATATTTCTTAATCAGTGGAAACCGTTGCAGTGTTTTCTATCGCAATAAGCACTTGCGTTCAGTCAATAAAAATCGAATGTAGTTCTTAATTTGTTTGAGAACTGAGAAAGACCATTCCATATAAGCGCGGCGTCGTGGCAACATAACCACTTCGGGAGTGTTTTATTTCTCTAATAATTTTAACGGCCTGGAGTCACAACCACACATCAAGACATTGTTCAGATGATTTGTTTCAAGACATTTGACATGTTTCCGTCCTGAAATCTCGTGTGGGTTGAACTAATTTTTTACGCACCTCATCCCAAACCTTCCGTTGCAAATTCCAAAACGTCATTTTAGAGCTGATAACAGAGGCTTGAGCCAATGATATGCAGGCTAACGCAGTTATTAATGCAGTCTAATGCGGTTATTAGAGAGAGAGATTAAGTGCGTGTGAATACCTCGTCTATGCGTCTCTCAGCAGTGTTCAGCAGCAGCATCTACTAATAGTGAACCTTTAAGTTAAACTGCTTCAAGAACCTCGCTACTGAGAAATGTCATGTAGGTTTTCAGCTGCGAAACTATTTTACTGATAAATTCGCGGTGCAGCGCTGACAAGAAGTTTCTGTTCGCGTCTCCGCACTGTGTGTGCGTCTGTGAGAGACTGGGTGAAAGAACGCGTGATTTCTGTAGCCTACATAAAAAAGGTGGAAGACATGGAAATAGTTTGTCATTTTTTACCCTATTGTTTGTTATATTTATTTGCTCTATGTCTTCTGGGGTTTTGGTTCTCTTACTGTTGTAGACAGCCCAAAGTATAACAACAATATTATATATCTCTTCATTGTATTGAAGGGAAATTGAGGGAAGCCAAATTACATTATAAGAATAAGATTGAGGGAAATTTTACAACAGGCAATGTTCGGCAAGCGTGGGATGGTCTGAATATTATGATGGGTAGGAATGATAAAAGGCATAGTGATCCACCTATTAATGATATGAATAACTTTTTTAACAGATTTGATACTGAGGTTAGCAGTCTTAACTGCAATAGTATTTGTCAGACCATCCCATATTGCTCCCCTATTAATTTGACGGAGTTGGATGTGGTCGCTTCCATTTCTAAGATAAAACCTGGTAAAGCTGGGGGGCCTGATGGTATTAGTGGTAAAGTGTTAAAGAGCTGTTGTCACCAGTTGAAATGTGTATTGACAAGGCTATTCCAGGCTTTGTTGCATGCTGGAACTGTACCTTCCTTATGGAAAGAAAGTGTGATAATCCCAGTACCAAAGGGGCCTACAGTCCATACTGTGAACGATTTTCGCCCTATAGCTTTAACTTCTGTGGTATGTAAAACTATGGAAAGGATTCTTGTCAAACATCTAATGTCATCTGTTGGTTAAAGTATTGATCCTCTGCAGTTTGCATATAGACAAAATAGGGGCACTGATGATGCTGTTAACTATGATGAATTTTGTAACTTATCATTTACAAAATTCAAATACATATGCCAGAATTTTATTTTTAGATTTTACATCAGCATTTAACACAATGAGGGTTGATATTTTGTTAGAACGGTTAATATCCATTGGTGTCAACAGGTACCTGGTTTTGTGGATTAAGGACTTTTTGTTGTCCCGTACTCAGAGGGTATGGTATAATGGTCAGCTCTCTGATGAATGCACTGTTAATACGGTGGCCCCTCAAGGAAGCGTCATATCACCTGTATTATTCTCACTGTATATTAATGATTTTACGATTCACAATTCTAATTTTAAACTTTTGAAGTATGCAGATGATATGGCTCTGGTAGGACTTCTCCAAAAAGGTGATATAAATGAGTCTGTTGAATATATGCAAAGATCCAACTCATCCTCTGTGTGATCAGTTTGTTTTATTGACCTCTGGGAGACGATTTTTAATGCCTAGAGCAAAGACAAATATTTATAAAAAGTCTTTTGTACCTGCTGCGATCGGATTTATTAATCAAAAAAAGTGACAGTGACATGACATGTGGCCAAGTATGGTGACCCATACTCGGAATTAGTGCTCTGCATTTGTCCCATCCAAAGTGCACACACACAGCAGTGAACACACACACTGTGAACACACATTTACTAATCAAAAAGCTATGTGATTCAGTATGATGGTTTTTATGTATTTTGTAGTATGTGTCTATGTGTATTTGGTTTTCACTAGACAAATTTCAACCATGGTTGACAATAAAGATGTATTGTATTGTATTATTGTATTGTATTGTATTTATATTCTTCCGTGATTTAATATCCTGGATATCCTTTCAATAGCCTATAGGTTCTGTAAGCTTCACAATGGAAAAACAAAACAACATGCGATTTGTAAAAGAAACAATTATGCTTCTGAGTCAGATCTTTTCATTGTTGACCCGCCATTTCACAAAAGGGGCCCAATTCGTTCACAAATCTGACAGATTCAGTTCTCGAGTTTAACTCGCAACGGTAGTGGAGTTTTCCAATGACTCGAATCTTTTAAATCCGTTCTAAACATTCGTCATGTTTACATTATTACGCCAGTAGGTGGCGAAAACTATTCTAGCCACTATTTTGATTAAATTATTATTTGCAAGCAATATTTTAATTGCAATATCGTAACAATATAGTAGATTTGTTCACATAAATTTTGTTGCTCCGTCAAAATTCAATAGAAACTTATTTTTTTGAGTCATTCACTTAAAAAATCCTTAGGCTTTAGCTTCACTGTAAACATTATGATATTAACACTTTCTTGTGCCTTTTTGTTGAGTTCATCTCAGCATTCCTTTCTAATAATAATTATGTTGTGATTTAAAATATTATTTTAATATTAGGTATTCCTTTCATTTTTTCCCCTTTTATATTTGGTTTTCAAGGTAACTCTTGACCTCTGCTCTTTTGCTTTGATGTAATACTGAAAAGGCAAAAATAAAATACTGTATTTACTTTAGCTTATGTAACATCATTAACTAATCCATCTCTGCCATAGTCATGAATTAGTAAGTGCCACTATTCTGTGCTTACAGTTCATCACAGCTCTAAAATAAATATTTGTTTAATCAAGAATGATTTTTTGAATGCTTGTTCATGAAAAAATGAAAAGTGCTTTTAAAAGTTGATTGTAATCTCTCTTGTAGCCAATAATACTGTAACACCAGGTGATGTGGAACCTGATTCACCAGACCGGAGTGAGAGGAGAAGAACTGAGATCAGGTGAGGGGGGGGGTTACAGACAACATAAAGAGGGCTGTTACAGACAGCTTAAAGAGGGCTGTTAAAGTGCAGTTTCACGTAAGGTGTTTGAGAAGGCAGTGACAAAGACACGGTTTGTCAGATTTTGAAAAGGAAACATGGTCATGTTATCTCTTGTTCTGCTTCTGCTTTCAGTCCAGTGGTCCTGGGCTCAGGAAGACCCTCTTCTGCCTTTCTCTGAACACCTGGACCTCGAGCACAAGGTGCAGCTGAAGTGGGGATTCAATGAGATCCAGGGCACAATCTTGTTCGAGCTCACGGTCAACACCAGCGGCTGGGTCGGTTTTGGCTTCAGCCCCAAAGGAGGAATGACTGGAGCCGATATCGTCATTGGAGGAGTTGGACCCAAAGGCAGTTACTTCACGGTAAAGACTGAGACTGTCAAAGTCACTTACAGTGGATAATAGTTTATTCTTTTTGATATTTTAATTCAATCTGAGAAATAAGCAATTTTGCATTAAACTAGATATTAAAATGATTAATGTCTGGATATTGCATGAAATACTGTAAAACAACCCTTACATAAGTGTGAGTGCTTTGGCCTTTTTAACCAGATATTTCCAGTTAGTTATCTGTTATATGTAAACAAATGATGTAGAGCATATCACACAAATATATGCTGTTATGACTGAAAATATACACAATTTAGCATTAATGTTGTTCAGGATCGTCATGCTGGGGGGAATTCAATGCCAGTGATTGACCAGAAACAGAACTACAAACTCCTGTCTCTGACCGAGTCTGATGGGAAAACAGTCATGAAATTTCAGAGGTCCATCGAGGCTTGTGATGAAAACGACTTAACCATCACTGTGAGTCCTGGAACATTCCCACATTTTTACTCTGCAAGGACACGTTTAATTGATCAAAAGTGTCAGTAAAGGCATTTATAATGTTACAAAATATTTCTATTTCAAATAAACGCTTTAACAATAATATCAACCTATAATTTAGCATTTTTAGAGATAGTTAAGATTAAGGTTTGGATAGTTAAACAAATATGTTATTCCATGACCAACAACAAATAATGCAGGAACACTTCCTATTTAACACCTACAGTGAACAGGTTGGATAAATGTACTGTTTGTTCCTGGAACTGGCCTTATGATAAACAACACCTACTTATTGAATTTCATATCCAATTTTCAACAAAATTACACCTAAAGGTATGTGTGCAATCTAGAAACTGTGATGCAACTACAAAGAAAAGTAGTTACAACACCGTCAGTTTCGCTCTCCACTTTTATTGTATAGCACTCAGTAGTTTGATCCAGTTAACAATGTGAGCGAAGGAACCACAGCATATTTAAGCCGTTAGGAGTGCTGTGGGTGTCCTCTTTCAGGTAGCTTTCATACTGGGAATCTGCACAATGCTTGACACACTGGGACCAGGAAGTCTGTACTGATCCTGTTTGTTTAGGGACCCTCAATTGTTGTTAAAACACCTCCTTAAACAGATGGACTGAACTCAAAAACCCTGAAAGTCTAGATCAGAACTAATAGCTAAAGAGTTTCTCATTTTTTGGTTCAGGTGTGGATCAGGTGTTTTTAAATGCCTATAAATGATGGGCTTTTGTTTTATTGCATTATCAGAATCTCCCCATGAAGCTGATCTATGCGTACGGGCAGACTGATGACATCATGTACCACAGCACCCAAAGAGGCACAAAAGAGCTGAACCTGTCGAAGTACATGCCTCGGGTCAACCCTCCAAACAGCAAGTATTTCGACATGACTATGATCAATGTAAGAAGGATTTTGACTTTTTGTTTTGCTTTATTTACTTTAGTTAATTAAACAGAGAATTTCCAATTCATACTTTAAGCTTTTAATAATGTGTGATGAAAAAATATGCCAAAACATTTAGACTAGATTACAATATTAGTCTAATAGACTAGAGTTTACCTGTAAGAGTGAATTAATGGAACAGCTCACCTTAAAATGAAAATCCACTCAAAACCTGTGTAATGAAGAATCAAACTCCTCTACAACTTGGCTGGCCTGAGGGTGAGTACATTTTCATTTTTGGGTGAGATTTAGCATGACATTTTATATTATCCCTGGGAATCGAACCCATGACCTTGACACTGCTAGTGCCTGTTCTACTGTTTGAGCTACAGTAATTTATATATTAATGATTTTTGCAAAAACCTCTGTCTTACTTTTTTGGACTGGTGCTAAAACGACGTAGAATGCAGCAAAAAATGTCAACGATGCTATCAGCTGTTGCTATTCATTTGTAAATGTAATTCCCCCGTGATGCTCTTTGACTTAAAATACCTAATGTGGGAACTTTCACTTTACATGTTGCTTAAATTTACAAATGTTTCAGTTCACTGTACCAGCCAACCAAACCCACTATCACTGCAAAATCATGAAAGCCCCGACATTTGATCGAAAACAGCACATTTATCGCGTGAGTCGAAGAACTTAACACACATGATCTATCCTGAACTATCCAGCGATCTGTCAATCATCTTCATCTCTGACTTACTTTCATTATGTCCAGATTGAGCCGGTGATCACAAACTTTGACCTCGTGCATCATCTGCTGCTGTACCGCTGCCCTCCGAGCGTGACCGAGCCGTTTGAGGCAGAGTGTTACACATCGTTAAGAACCAACTTGTGTATGGAGACCATTGCAGTGTGGGGAGTTGGTGGAGGGGTTAGTATCTGTTCTGCATCTGAAATCATACGTTTCATTTCTTGATTGTATTAAATTATTAATTTAAATCTTGGTTGAAATTTGAGTATTGAGTATTTGTGGGTTCTCTGAGTGATCAAAAAATATTTCAGATTCATATCCTTTTCTCTCAGGCTTTTGAACTCCCTGAAGTGGCAGGACTTCCAATTGGAGGAAATGTTAGTGATTTTTTCTACAGGCTTGAAGTGCATTACAACAATGCTAATAAAAGTACAGGTCAGTCAGGACTGTGGTTTATAATTGTAAAATATCACATTTAAAGTGCTTGGAATTATACTACTTTATCTTTTCTCTACACAGGTCGAGTTGATAACTCAGGTCTGCGATTCCATTACACTTCTGAATTCCGTCAGCACGATGCAGCTGTTTTGGGGACAGGGCTTGTAATAGCTCCTTGGTACGCCATCCCACCCAAAGCCAAATCCTTCCTCACGTACGGCCTGTGTGACACTGCTTATATTCCAAAGGTTTGTATGTATGTTTATCTACTCACACTCTCTCGATCAGATTCAGCAGATGTCTGGATGATCCTGTGTTCTGTGCTCTACAGGTTCTGGAGACGCCACGTGATCTTCAGGTGTTCTCTTTGATGCTGCACACACACTTAGCTGGACGGAAGGTGCGAGTCGGACACTTCAGGTAAACATTTTTAACCAATGACTGACCTAAAGAAAGAGTTCACCCAAAACTAAAAATGAAAAATCACTTACAGTATTCACACTCATGTCATTCCAAACCTGTGCGCTTTACTTTCTTCTGTGGAAAACAAAAGATGTTGAGAAAAATGTTCATGCTGTTTTTTCCAAAAAAATAAATAATTATAATAATAATAAAGAATATTATTAAATTGGAACAGCTAGCAGTGTTTTTCTCATTTTATTAATGACACAAAGTACCATAAAAGTAGTTCATATACAGTAATATTAATATTTATGAAAATATTAATTTCCATAGCTTACTTTACAATCAATGAAAAAAAAAATGGCAATACAAATTAAATAACAGTATCAAGTAAAGAATGCCATCAAATTATCAATATACATATATTCCTTTAGCTCAAACAGTGGAGCATGGCGCTGGCAATGCCAAGGCCATGGATTTGATTCTCAAGAAATGCATGAAGCGTATACCAGTTTATTCATTCATGTAATTTAAATAACTCATATGTAAATATCACTCAAATATGGCATACAAGCAAATATGGCTCTTTGGGTGCTATGCCGGAGAAGATTAGCAGTTAATACGGATTTAAATTACAGTCTGTTCCTGACACAGCTATCACATGACTTGAACTACAGCACACAACTCACACTGCTATTAGACAAAAAGAACAAACCGCTTCCCTGTACCTGTCACACCCGGGACAAGCAGGCAAACAGGCAGAGTAAATCAGGTTGGTTAGTTTATTAACGAAACTGAGGTATTGAAACTTCCAACAGAAAAGAAACAAACTGAGGAATCAATGGAAGCAGAGAACACAGTCTTATCTGGGATCGACAATCTAGTCCTTCGGCCGAGAGCTGAGGAATCCTAGGCTTGACAGGCAGGTTGGTAGGCAAGGAACCCGTGCTGAGATGCTTGTAACCTTGAGACCAGCCGACGAGTGACTGAAGTGAGTGTGCTTTTGACTGGTGTGGTAAATGAGTGCAGGTGTCCGTGATTAGTAATCAGGTGATTGTGAGCGGGTGTAGGAGGCTTATTCGGCTGGTGAGGCAGGTGTTTCCGTGACATTATTCGAGGATCTCCTTGACTCTGTAGATTGTCTCGTTGGAGACGACCTCGGGCGGGGGGGTACCTCGTGTTCTGTGGAGGGAGGGAGAAGAGGATTAGTGAAGGGTTTTAGCAGGGACACATGAAAGGTGGGTGAGATCCGGTAATGGTCAGGCAGGTGTAATTGGTACGTGACTTCGTTGATGCGCCGTGCTACGGGGAAAGGACCTATGTACCGGGGACTCAGCTTCCTGCTGGGCCGCCGGAGGCGGATGTCCCGGGTGGATAACCAGACTTGGTCCCCTGGTTGATAGATGGGATTGTCGGACCGACGAGTGTCCGCATTGGCCTGGTGCCTCCGGATGGCCCTCTGGAGATGGATATGCGCTGAGTCCCATACCCTCTCGCTCTCACGGAACCAGTGATCTACCGCTGGGACTTCCGAGTGTTCTTCGGTCCAGGGAAACAGGGGCGGCTGGTAACCCAGGACACATTGAAACGGGGTGAGTCCGGTGGTTTCCTGGCACAGGGAATTCTGGGCGTACTCGGCCCAGGGTAGGTACTGGCTCCAGCTGTCCTGATGGTCATGAAAGTAGGCCCGGAGATAACGTCCGCTCTCTTGAATCTTCCGTTCGGT